CTCTCGGCCCCCAAACCGCGTCCCTGAGTGCCCCTGAGCCCCAAAACCCAGCTGCTGAGCCTCTGCTCAAGTCTCCAAAACGCTGCGCTCTGCCCCCACTCCTGAGCCCAAAGCCCCGAGACTCCCTCCCTTGCCGAAGCCCAGAATGACAGAATCCTTAGAGATACAGGTTGGTATTTTGAACTCTTTTTATATACATAAAGGAATATTATTTTCCAATATACAGAAAAATGAGAGATTGTTCTCTATTCCAATGCCTCTCCCCCCGCATTTACAGCATTTAACATTTTTAAACCACCAGATCTTCCTTCTGATTTGACTTTTAGACTTCCTGTTATTTTTTCTCTCATGCATGTGTTCTTTTTATGCTGAAATGCTTGTGCATGACCTGTTTGCCATTGACTATTCATCAATAGTCTTTCCTGTTTTATGCTCTAAACCTGCTATATCTGACAACGTTATACTAGACTTTGAAGAGTAGCATCTCTAAATCCCTCTCTGATTATGGCATTTACCCTGGTTTTTACATTGGTGCTTAAAAGCACAGTAGGATTTTGGCTTCAGTGGATTTTTGTATCTCTGGTCTCTCTCAATGTTGTGCATTCAATACATTCTTAAAGTCAGACACTTTTATGGTAAAAGTATTTCTATTGAATGTATATAAAGACAGGCACACCTTGTTGGCATAAAGTGAATGACTGAGCTTTGTTCTTTATTGTTCCTTGTGCTCTTCAAGGTCTTTATATAATTTTGACCGGTTTCGGTTGCTATACTGGAAATAAGGCACAACTGGGAGCATCCAGTGAGTTATACTAGACTTTGAAGAGTAGCATCTCTAAATCCCTCTCTGATTATGGCATTTACCCTGGTTTTTACATTGGTGCTTAAAAGCACAGTAGGATTTTGGCTTCAGTGGATTTTTGTATCTCTGGTCTCTCTCAATGTTGTGCATTCAATACATTCTTTCTAATTTAAGACTTTTTTCGTGCCTGGTGTTCATAAAAAATCAGGCTGGTGTTTTGTGTCAGTCAGACCATCTTTCCTGGTTGTTTGTTTGTTTGTTAGCTTGTTTTCCATATGTAGGATAGCTACTTCTTTTTGCTAGCTGTCTTTTACTGCTGGAGACTCCTTTACTGGTATTTTCAGTGTGTCTGTAATTCTCTGTCTAGCAACAAAATGTTTTGCAAACATTTAGGAAACCAGAATAAAGCTTCAACAACAACAATTTAGGACACCCGAATAAAACTTCCAATGCCTGCTTTTTCTGATTTGACTTTTAGACTTCCTGTTATTTTTTCTCTCATGCATGTGTTCTTTTTATGCTGAAATGCTTGTGCATGACCTGTTTGCCATTGACTATTCATCAATAGTCTTTCCTGTTTTATGCTCTAAACCTGCTATATCTGACAACGTTATACTAGACTTTGAAGAGTAGCATCTCTAAATCCCTCTCTGATTATGGCATTTACCCTGGTTTTTACATTGGTGCTTAAAAGCACAGTAGGATTTTGGCTTCAGTGGATTTTTGTATCTCTGGTCTCTCTCAATGTTGTGCATTCAATACATTCTTTCTAATTTAAGACTTTTTTCGTGCCTGGTGTTCATAAAAAATCAGGCTGGTGTTTTGTGTCAGTCAGACCATCTTTCCTGGTTGTTTGTTTGTTTGTTAGCTTGTTTTCCATATGTAGGATAGCTACTTCTTTTTGCTAGCTGTCTTTTACTGCTGGAGACTCCTTTACTGGTATTTTCAGTGTGTCTGTTTTTCTCGCTAATGTCCCCCTGCATGTCTTATTTTTTCTCCTTGTCCCCTGCGTTTATTTCCTGTACTTCCTTGCACTGTCAATACCAGTATGGTATCAGTTCTTCCCTAGGTCTTGCTGGAAGTCAGTTTAATGTGACCCATTATCTTTGAATTTTATTATGTACCCTGCTATTTTTATTTATAATTGCCGCTCCCTATAAAATATTTGTATCAATTAAGTATAATTCTGTCCCTATGAGCAATCCACCATGATATGAGGAACCATTTACCCTTTTCAGAGGTGAGATGCGGGTTCCCATTTGTACATCTGTCTACATTCCAGGATTTGTTTTTTAAATCAGGTGTAGGGAATTATTAAGTTCTAAAGGTGGCATGTTCTGCAATGTTGCTTACATACAGAGCTTGAATATTGCTTTATCTTCTGGGTTAATAAAACTGTTCTTGAGGTAATAAGTGTATGCTTTGGTAGTAATAGCAAAAAGTTAATTGCATCAGATTATCACAAATAAATTATTTACTTTTCATTAACAAACTAAGTAGCAGCCATTTATGTTACTTTTTGTTAATTCATTACTTAAAGGGTGTTTTAACACTGAGTAACAGCTTGACAGGCTATCCTAGCTACCACCTTTTTTCCATAAGTACAAGTTTTTTGTGGTTTATTTAATAAGATTTTAAAAATACTTTTTTTTTTTCTTGTTAGCTAAGCTTCTTGCTTCACCTACATGTTTAATATCTACAATACAAGGCTTTTCTATGTTTAATTTGCTGTTGGCCTCCCTAATCAGACTGGGCCTCTGTTTACAGGAGGAGGAAGAGATGCAGCCCTTTGGTTAGGAGCCTGTAAAGCACTCTGAAGTGCAATGGCTTGAGGGATCTGCTCTTTAACATCATTCCTTCAAACTCTGTTATGGGAGATTTACTTAAATCTATAAGAATCAGTTTGAAATGCAAATCTTACAAAGGTTCTTTCTATAGCTGAGACACATGATTTTATCAGATAACTTGTTGGTTTTCATTGCTAGCCATTTGCAATGGTTTGTTTTAAAGCTAAATTAGGTTTTTTTTCTTGTAAGGATAACATAATATAGTCTTGGAAAAATAGAAACAATACTTATGAGCATCCTTTGGATAATTGGACCGCTTAGCTGGGCCCTTTAGTGCAAATTCTGTTAAGGCAAAACTGTAAAAGGAAAATATAACGTCTCTTGCTGAAATATTTAATTCTCCAGGAAATAGTGCTAACTGTAGATACTACAAAATCTGTTACAGGTCAGTCTTCACTCTTTCCTTTTGAAGATGGCTTCCTAGATGGCAGTCATGGTGATCAGTCTTTATCATCATGGTGAAAAAGTGGAACACAATTCTAGACAGATGCTTGTTGGAGGTCTTCCTCCTGACATTGATGAAGGTACTGTGAATAAGTTACATTGGTGAGATGTGGGAATTAGCTTACTTTTAAAAGGGCAGATTTTCATAAAAACAAGTGTATTTTCCCAGGTATGTCACTTGTAGGGCCTGTGGCATTATTTAAAACAAACACCACCACTTCCTGCAACACCTGAGAATTTACATGACAATCACAATTGTAAATCAGAAGAGATAGGGACAGAAATAGCAGGTCTTCTAATCTGCACTATCAGCATATGTTTCCACATAGGTAAAGCTGAAAAAAGGAACCTAGTGGGTGCCATCACTCCTCTGTAGTCTTCCCTGTTCTTTTTCAAAGATGTGGTTGGCTTTAAGGACTTTATTACTACAGTCCTTACCAAAATAAATCAGGCTCTAATCAGTCAGCTCTTATATCCAGTGTATATGCAGTGTTTGGTTGGCAAATGTAAGGCAATTAATATGGTTACAAAATAAAACCCAACTGAATAGGAATGGTCAGGTTCTTTCTCAGTCCCAAGAAATATCTGTTCTACTTGCGTGTGCCTCCACACACCCTTACTCCCAAACCAAAAGTGTGACAGGTTTTGGTGTATTTTTCATATTATAGATGGAATCTACCACTCTTTACCTTCAATTGGCATACACAGGGAATTTGAGGGTGCCTTATAATGAAAAGAGAGGGATCTCTGAGTCCTATCTACTAAATCGAAGCCTAAACCACGTGCAGTTTTAATAAACAAATAGTATGAGTTTTCAATCTATGGTTTACAAACAGCTGAAATGCAGTTCCCTTGTTACGTCATGAGTTGCAGGACTGTTGGTACAGGGAGGGGTGGGTACCCTGAATCCCCAGCTGTGAGAAGCAGCAGCCAACAGGTACCGCTTAGGTGAACGACCCTGCGCCGCTCAGAATCAAAATCCATGCCCAGCCCATTCTGCCAGGAGGTGTCATGACCACTCAGGAGCTGCCACCCTCTCCCAGAGGGATCTACTTCAGTAATACCTTTTTCCTTCAGCTCCTGAATTATGCAGCATATGTTTTGTGGCTCTAGTTGCTTGAGAAATCTGACGTGCGGCTCATGGGGTCAGACAAGCAGGATACATCTCAAACAGCAATCCAAAAAGTTGGAAAACTAATGTGTTTGTCTTCAAACTTCTCTCCTGATGGATTGTTGGTCTGATCTAGCTAGTATAGACACAATAGACACAATTTTAAACTAATTCTTTCTTTAAAGTACATAAATAAATGCATTGAGAAAAAAGATTTTTTTAAAAAATAAGTTTTTTCTGAAGTGTTTGCATGGAAAACCAAGTTGTCCAATAGGATAGTTTGAGATGTATATTCCAGAGCGCTTCTAAATTAATGCTTAAAAAGCAAAGAAATAATGTGATAATTGGAGGCAGATTTCCAGGGGGACTGAGGAAGGCAAACACCCCACAGTCGCCTGACCTGATGCAGCCTGCTTTCCAGAGCATGGTACAAGGAGTGGCCATGCTGACACGTAGCTCCTCCGTCAGTCCATGTGGCTGCATCTGTGGCCATAATTATCCAAAGCATTGTGGCTATAATTAGAAATAGACCAATGCTGAAGCATATTCAGTTCTGATAGATCATGTTTGCAATTAATCCTGCTGCAAGCTTGAATTAGTGGAATGTAAAATTACTTTTTTAAGCAACTGTGTATAACATAGAGGTGAAAGAATATTTAGGCATCCTCTATTGTACGTTGTTGCAGTTTTCACTGTTCTTAATAGGCATAGAAAATAGTCTTTTTTTGGGGTTGTTTTAAAAGTAAGAATTTTTATCTTGCCACTGTCAGTCTTCAGATTTTAAGGTGCCCCGTTTGTTTTTTGTAGATGAGATCACTGACAGCTTTCATAGGTTTGGACCTCTTGTGATGGACTGAAAACAAGTCATATTTTCCACCTAAAGGTAATTAGTTTAAAATACATTTATGCAGGCTGTTCTGGTAAAAGGAAAATACATCTGCAATGTGGCAATCCATTACAAAGAAAAGATTTTGACTCTTTATGACTCATTTTCTCTCTTTGAACAAACATATTTTCAGCAGTTGTCATGACAGAAAAAAACACAATTCAGTGACTGAAATGTGGTCCTGTGTGTGTACGTTTTCAGCAAGACTGGAGTCCCTGAATTATGCCTTAATTTATACTAGGCTTACTTTAGAAGGCAAGTTGCCGAAATTCACTAGTGTGGATTCTGGTGCACTTTGCATACTGTCAGGAATGATAGGAATAACAGCTGGAAGTCGGTAGTGGATCGGGTGCATGGTATTTTTTGTGGAAGTGTGAGCTCTGTGAAGAGATGGCAGCCTGGGATCATGCACTGTACTCACGGCATTTCCAGGCTGGCACTGATCTTGGTCTTGGTGGTTTAGAGCGCATGCAGGTGGAGCAGTTTCCTATCTGTCAGTGAAGCACTATGCAGACCTGTTTGGGTTGAGAAAGAATAGTTTATGGGAAACCCGTTTGGGAGAGTTACTTGGCTAAATCAAATTGCTCTTACTGTATCCTAGTCGCTCCTGTGATGTTGTATTATACTATGCACATTCTATTCTCAGTCACATGTGCCTCTTGCATGTAGTTTGGGAGTTCACTCATGATCTGAGACAGTAGCATGAAATCATATGCAGAATTTCTTATCTGTGCATTAAGATTTTCTGTCCTCACTGACACTGAAAGCTCTTAATTGCTCATTACGTCTGCGATGTGTATCTGTGTTTTTCCTAAGGTCCTTGTAGTGTGGACTTTAAAGTTAACATAAATAGGGTCTGTTCTGGAGCATGTTATGCCCACGCAAAGCTTACTTCCCTCTGCTTATTTTCTCTTCCTGAAAGCATAATCTTCTCTTTCTGGGAGATTACTAGTTAAATGATACAGTGAAAATAATTTTGTACTAAAAGAGGGAAGAAACTGTTCGTTAGAATGCAGATACTCAGAAGGAGCAGACTTTATTTTCATGATGCAAGCTTCTTACAATATCTTATAGAAGTACTCAAAAACTACTCCTCATTGGGTAGCGCACAAAAAAACCCCGTAGTTAAATGATAACTGTGTGTTTTGGAGATGGACAGTGCGATGGTATCAGTGCACAGCTGTGCAAGCTCAATTAGTGCCAAAGCCAGACACTTTTATGGTAAAAGTATTTTTATTGAGTATATATAGAGACAGGCACACCTTTTCAGCATAAAGTGAATGATCGAGCTTTTTTCTTTGTTGCGCCCTGTATTCCTCAAGGTTTTACCCTTCCCTCTCAGCCGCATTGACTGAGTGAGAGGAGCAGCAGCAGCACCAGGGCTGTAGCGGCAGCGCTGGGTCCCTCAGCATCATTCTGGTCACAGCAGAGCCTGGTCCTGCCCCTTGAAGGGTGATCTCCCTGCACCGCGCTGGGAGGAAGGGGCCAGGCATTTCCCTGCACCAGAGGTTCACTGTTAGTCTGAGTAGGTGTTCCAGGCGGCATCGGTCAGTCTGAAGAGGGATCTGAAGTGTCAGGATGGCTCCGGCTTTGGCAGGCTGTGCCGTCTTTTGAACAGAGCTGTTAATTGTTAATTGTAATTTTGTATAGTATTGTGTATTGGTGATAATGTGATGATCACATATTACACAATTTCGAAGATTCTGTTATTATGGGTGTATAATTTATATCTATATTAGGACAGTAAACAAATGTGTTTATTATGAACAGTAAGGGTATCGTGCTTTTAATTGCATTTAAAAAAAAAAATAAAAAGCAAGTCTTTTGCAGCAAAGCCCTATCTTAATAGTAACTTGAAAAAGTGAATTGCAAAGCTCACTTGGAAGCTTCCCAGGACTTTGTTTTTAAATGTGGGTTTTCATCAGCAACCACTTCAAAATTTGATTTGACAGATGAACTTTGGGAATTTTCATTTGAAACTGAAGAAAAATGCATCTCTTGAATAAGTTCTGCTGTTTGGCAGATACAGAACTGGGTGACTTTTCTGTCTTTGAGGACGCAGAAATAGCTTCCTCATGCTGATCAATTCACAAGTATATCAGTATTCCAATATGCATGAAGTAAGATGATGATTATTGTTGTTGCTGTTGTTAGGACTGGTGCTACTGATTTCTTTTTGTCTCTCTTGTAGGGTTGGCTGAGAGCAGTCCACCAGGAAGGCACACGGGTGCTGTGTCTCACTGAATTTCCACGTGGTAGAGCCAGGGTCTTGGCTTGAGGAAAGGAAAGCTTTCCGAAGCACCATTTCATCTTTGAACAGCTAATAATAGCCAACTATAAAAGCACGTAACTAGTTATCACCTGCTAATAATAGTCCACTGTAAAAGCAGCACCTGGGAGCTGTCTATAAAAGCTGAGCTATCTGTGCAATAAAGTGGCATCTACCTGATCACATAGGTCGTCGTGTATGGTGTCCGAAGCTTCTGCGTCATTACCTGGTTACTGCACATGCCGCACATTCCACTGCGCGTGGGCGGCTTCAAAATCATTACTGCGCATGTGCCTTACAATTATCTGGTTAGTACGCACGTGCTGCCCGGCGGCTGCCCACACTCGTTTAATGCGCATGCGCGGCGGCATCTTTGTGGTTCGCGTCTTCCCCGGCGAAACCGCGTGCGACTCGGGAGGGTCCGAAAAGTACGGATGCGTTTCCCTGATTTCGTGGGGGGTCCCAGGTACCCGGGGCGTTCCGAAGGTGAGGAAGGCGCTTTTCCGAGGGGGAGAGGGG